CTGATCATCAAGAGTGAAGGGGGAAGGGTGAGTGGGTTCCTACACCCCTCGTGGTAACTCCTCGAAGTCATTGCTCTGCTTCTCCTAATAGCTGTGGAAGGCATTCATTATATTAGATAAACTGGTATATCTGAGAAGAACCTTGGGTTGTGAGCTAAAGGTCACCCTTTCCCGAGTGACTCCAATAACCTATGAAGCATCAAGCCTCCTCCTTTCTTTATAGGTCTGTTTTAGATTCTGTTTCTTAGTCACTCTTAAGCAGGAGTCCTTAACCTTTTGGGGCCTGTGGAAACATTTGGAATTCTGACACAGGGTGAAGGGCACAACCACAAAATGGCTGCCACAGGAAGCAGAACCAATGACTCCAATGACCTATGAAGCATCAAGCCTCCTCCTTTCTTTATAGGTCTGTTTTAGATTTTGTTTCTTAGTCACTCTTAAGCAGGGGTCCTTAACCTTTTGGGGCCTGTGGAAACATTTGGAATTCTGACACAGGGTGAAGGGCACAACCACAAAATGGCTGCCACAGGAAGCAGAACCAACCATGAAATGTCAAGGAGTGAGGTTATGCATAACTGATATATAGTAAGTCTTCAACATTTCAGGCAAAAGCTCTTCTTAACAGTTTGCCTTTTAAAATGAACACAGAGCTTATCTTCAGGCATACAGTGAAAGCATACAGTGACGCAGTGAAAGCCATTGCCAAACAATAAAAAAACCCTCTGCACTGCCAATTAGATCTCCAGTGGGCAATCAGAAGCCCAAGTGGGCAAAAGCCCCATCTAACCACATCCACTTTCTAAAACCACTAAGAATCTGACATAAACCAGAAGACAGTCACTGACAGGCAACAGACTAGGCTTATACAGTACAGGAAGTTGAATTCTGGGAGAACAAAAAGTTGAATCAACAAAGAACCTTATCGACCAGCAAGGGTGTGACAGGAGCGGTACCCTGGAATGGAGATATCTTCAAATGGTCTTTCTGTCCTACAGTATGGGTCTTTAGGCAAACAAAGTTGGTAGGTGGGTAGATAGATTCACACTCTTCACTTCAAGGGTCAGCATCTGATAGCTTTTCTCCTAAGACAGCTGTCTAAGAAGTTCTCTGTCAGACTCTGTGTCGGGAGGATGGGGAGGCTCTGACAACCTATGGGTAGAGGATGAACATAGAAGGTTGCCAGGCGCCTGCCCCTGGGCCTTGCCCTTAACACCAATCAGCTCACCGGCAGGGGGACTACCACAGTGAGGGAGGCCTAGCTTGGTATTTCAGCCTTGTTGCCAGCGATGCAGCAAAGTCACTTTCCAGGCATGGCAGAAGTGATGTTGTTGCATCACCTGCAGTGCTCTGGTGTTTGCACAAAAATTCTATGGTAAAAACAGCTTCTAACATAGAATTTTTGCCCAAATACCAGAGTGTCGCAATGTCACCAGCAACAAGATGACTTCTGGCATGAGCCAGAAGTGACACTGCTGCATCACAGCAATATGACTCAAATGCTGGGCTAGGCTTTCCTTGCTGTGCGTGAGTTCCCTCGTGCCCCACGTGCCCCTTTAGGTTTAGACCACTGGACCATCTATGCTAGCATTGTGCTGCAGGATCTCAAGTAGCCACCAGCTATCAGAGAGTGATTGCAATGTGGAATTCGCTGCCAGAGGATGTTGTGATGGCCACAGGAATAAACAGGTTTAAAAGGGCATTAGATAGGTTCATGGAGGATAAGTCTATCAATGGCTACTAGCCGTGGTGACTGAGGGGGACCTTCACATTCAGAGGCACTAAGCCCCTGAATCCCAGAGCCAGGGGAACAATTCAGGGGAAGGCCTCGGCCTCTATGCCCTGTTGTTGGCCGTTCAGAGGAACTTGTTGGCTACTTTGTGAAACAGGATGCTGGACTGATGGACCGCTAGTCTGATCCAACAGGGTTCTTCTTATGTTCTTACCTGACCTTGATGGAATTTGGGACCTTCTGCATGCAGAACCATGTGCTGTACCACTGAGCTATGGGTCCTCCTGCTGCTTAGCGTATCACCTTGGCTCAGTGCGGTAATCAAAGAGACCACGAGCAGAGGATTCTGGGAATTGGCTCCAAAGAAACCGTCATTAAGTTCTTCAGAATAATTTCTTTTTTTGGGGGGGGGGGACACCTTTTTTGGATTTTTTTATTTTTTAAAAAACAAAACGGTTCAGTGTAGAGTGACTAGAGAGATTTCAACAGGTGGTATTTGACATGCTGGCTTGAGAAGAGTTGCAGCTATTTTTGTTTCTTCCCTGCTTTACAACTCTTAAAAGTACCAGGACCCTGTTTTCTGTGGCATCTATTCACTCCCAGTACATACGAAGGAACAATTTCCGAGTATCCGAGTACGCCGAATGCAGCTGAAAACAAAAGCCGTATCTCGCCACTATTGTTTGTTCCCATATTACATGATTTCCAGAGGAGCTGAAAATCATGACGCTTTTAAAGAGATGATTTAAGTATTCAAGCAGTCAGCCTTTATGTCTCCTTAAAAGCTTCTGCTGGGAAGGCAGGTGGGTATTTTTTTTTTGCCCACTAATGAGGACAGCTGCAACCAGTAAAGTAATTCAGAGTTACAACAAGGACTTTAAATCACTGCTGTTGGTTTTATTGTAAGATCCGCCATCAGCTAAAATTTAGAAGTGTTGTTTTTAATTTTGAACATTTCCCCCCCAGAGGATCTTGACAATTAAAGGCAAGTGTTTTATCTTTGAGCTTTTCACGGTCAGTATAAGATACACAAAACGGTAAACATATATTGCTGTCACAGGGAGCACAAACCCAGCATAGTTCACTAGAAACAGGAAAAAAGTAGCACTGTGACTCTTTTTCCTAATGAACCTAGCTGTAGTGAGGATACAGTTTGGTGTAGTGGTTAGGAGCGAGGACCCTAATCTGGGAGAACTCCTCCACATGCAGCTAACAAACCACATAAAACATAATAACTGGATGCTTGGGGGTGGGCGGCCTCACCCCTCACTCACTGTCTGCAGATAGGCTTGCCAACCCCCCGATGGGGGCGGATGTTCCCCTGATTTTGGGCCCCCAAATCTGCTGCCAGCGGGGCACAACATTGGCCAAGCCCTCCTGAGGTGAGGTAGACAGCCCAACCAGAGGGGAAGGGTATAGGGTTGCCAGCCTCCAGGTGTGACCTGGCGATCTCCTGCTTTTATACCTGATCTCCCAGGGCTGCCAGTTCCAGGCTGGGAAACACCTGGAGATTTTGGGAGTGGAGTCTAAATAGGGCAGGGTTCGGGCATTAATGCCATAGAGTCCAACTTCCAAAGTGGCCATTTACTCCAGGTGAACTGATCTCTGTCACCTGGAGATGAGTTGCCATAGTGGGAGATCTCCAGCCGCCACCTGGAGGCTCAATCCAAAAAAAAAACCCAAGGGAAAAAGACTAGCATCACAGAAGTCCGAAATATACAAATTCCATGAGTAGAAAACACCATCAAAAATTCCCAAACAATATATTAAACAATTATAAAGTTGGTGGTGTCACAACAACAACATTAGTACATACTGTAACTATAATAAGGCTGGAGATTGGCATCCCTATGATCGCCAGATGATAGAGAAAAGTTCACCTGGAGAAAATGGCTGCTTTGGAGGCTAGACTCTATGGTATTGCACCATGCTGAGGTCCTTCCCCTCCCCAAACCCCGTCCTCTCTAGGCTCCACTCGTAAAATCTCCAGGTATTTCCGAACCCAGAGCTGGCGACCCTACAAGTGGCCAGCTATTCCAGCATCTTTTGTATTGGAGTATGAGGGCATTGTCTGTACAGGAGACATATATATAGTGCAAGGAAATGCCAAGTAGATGTCCAGTGCCCTGGGGAAACAGAAGCCCTGGAAGAGTCACTTTGCCAACACTCTTGGCAAAATGCTAGGGAGGTGAAAACCATTTAACTTTTCTCTCAGACGTGTAATTGCAGTCACCGGGACCTTCCTGGCAACCGACAGGAAGACTGACAACAATGCTTACTCCAGAAACACATCCCTCCATGCTTTCCTATGAAGTTGTACAAGGACCAAAGTAGAATGCTTTGTGCTTAGAAGTGGGCTTGAGACTAAAAGCCTGGCAACGTTAACTGGGTTTTCTCTCTGCCTTTATTGCACCCACCGACAGGTCTCGACAAAGGAAGCCAGTACAGTTTCCAAGTCGCAGCCATGACAGCCAACGGGACGGGACCCTCCTCGGACTGGTACAGTGCTGAAACGCCAGAGAGCGATCTGGACGGTAATTGTATTTCTTCCCTCTGCTGTTATTCCTTCTTCGAGCTTGTTCTGATTGTTCCTTCCGCACTTGGATCTCATCCCTGGTTATATCAGAGTTCAACTCACAACACAATACCTTGCATTTATCCCTGGTTATAACAGCATCCGTTTATTCCGGGACAAATATGGGCCAAAACCGGGGTGAGCTCAAGGTAATGTGGAAACAAAAAAATATGATGAGATAATTAAAAGGGTGAACTCACGTGTAGTGTAGAATGTAAAAATACCTCGAGATAATTACAGGGATGGAACTCGTGTGGTCACTGCCACTGCTAGGTCTGCCTCTTTTCACCTGAGGCAGATCAAGCAGTTAGCCCCATATCTCACCTCCTGGGACTTTTGGTGGTCCCCGGCCTCAGGGACGTCCGATTTGCCTCTACCAGGGCCAGGGCCTTCTCAGCCCTGGCCCCTGCCTGGTGAATGAGCTCCCGTGTGAGATCAGGGCCCTGCGGAATTGTAATAAATCCTGCAGCGCCTGCAAGATGGAGCTCTTCCGCTGGGCTTTTGGTTGAGGCAGCGGACGTTCCCCCCCTTGGGCCCCCTCCATATGTAGTACCTCCATCTTTAGCCTGGGTCTATCTGTAGTTCTGGGTCCTGGGATCCTACATATTAAGATCTTTATAACAAAAACTGATTTTAACATCATCAACCACTGAAGCAACTGACTTTTATTAGAGTGGTATGGCACTTTGGCCACCCAATGAGAAGGGAGCACTCACTGGATTAGACCCCGATGCTGGGAAAGATTGAAGGTCAAAGAAGACAGGGACGGCAAAGGATGAGATCGTTAGACAGTGTCATAGATGCAACGAACATGAAATTGAGCAAACTTCAGAGGACGGCGGAAGACAGGAGGGCCTGGCGGGATCTAGTCCATGGGGTCGCGAAGAGTCGGACTCGACTGTGCAACTGAACAACAACATGGCATCTATGACTTACGTGCTGTTATGTGCTGTTATGTCATGTATTTTACATTGTGTTTTAAAATGGTTTTAACCGTATTGCACTTTTACTGTTGGAACCCGCCCTGAGCCTGTCAAGGGGAGGGCAGGATACAAATCCAATAAACAAACAAACTTTCCAGTAGATTGGCAGTAGTTTCTAAGCTGCCTGTCAAGGGAAGTTGGTCTACTGTTGTTACTGATCATCTCATTGAGAATGAGGAGACACTGGACTTCCCCTTCCAAAAGTTTTAAAACAATGAGTCTTGAGCATACCAAACCAACACTGAACCATCCTGTTTTCAGTGCTTGATCTCGGACCCAGAACATGAAAAGTGAAAATAGTGATACGTTTGTACCTGGAGCGATGGGTGCTCATTCACCACTGTTGACCAACCCAAGCCAACTTTCACACTAAAAATATACCAGGTCAGATTACAGAGTTAGTAGATGCCTATTTTGGGTCACATGACAAGGAGACAAGAATCACCGGAAAGGACAATAATGCTAGGAAGAGTTGAAAGCAGCATGAAAAGAGGAAGACCCAGCAGAGATGGATTGACTCCATCAAGAAAGCCGCAGCCCTCGGTTTGCAAGACCTCAGCAAGGCTGTTAACCATTGGATGTTTTGGAGGTCATTAATTCATAGAGTCACCATAAGTTAGAAGCAACGTCATGACACATAACACACAGAGATGCCTTTAGCGAACTATGATGGCTCTGTCGGGGGGAAGTTGCCCAAGTGTTCTCCCTCTGTCACGTTGACAGTAATGATAGGCATAGATAGCCTCACCCATCACCTCCTACCATGCTGCCCCTGGTTGAAGGATGCAGGTTTGGAGACGAGCTCCAGAGGCAGAACCATTGATGTTTGTTTTCCTCCTTGGTCCTCAAGATCAGTGGCTCACTGGGAAGTTTTCCAAGAAGATAAAGGGCCAACCCTGCCCTGGCAAGAATCAGTCTCTCTCTCTCTCTCTCTCTCTCTCTCTCTCTCTCTCTCTCTCTTAGAGTCTTTTGTTTTGTTCGCTGTACATGTAATGCACTGGGTCAATCGATAGCTTTATGTAACCAAGAAAGAGGATACACATCAATGGCACCCTGCTGAGAAAACCAGATGGCAGGCGTGGATTCAAATAGTTAGAAGAGCTTTTTCTGCATGTCGATACCTGGGTACATGCAAGAGATATCAATGGTGTGGATGCACTCCAGAATATGAACTAGAAATTGCTCATCACAGTGTGAGGTCCAGGGGCTTTTCTTAGGGCAGGAGACACCATTCCTTCCCCCTTTCCATTTGTTGCAGCCAGACCTGGACAACTGTGACCCTTTCCGCACTAGACCTTAAATCCTGGTTCAACCCTGTCCCCGAAGTTACATTCTACACTACACTTGAGTTCACAATTATAATTATCTCAGAGTATTTTTTTTGTTTCCACATTACATTGAGATCACCCCAGTTTTGCTCCACACTTGTCTCAGGATAAATGGATGCTGTTACAACCAGGGTTAAGTGCAAGGCATTGTGTCATGAACAGTGTTCCCTCTAAGCTGAGTTAGTGTGAGCTAGCTCACAGTTTTTTAGCCTCCGACTCCCACATTTTTGTCTTAGCCCAGGAAGGATGGCTCCAGAGCAAACTAATTTATGCCGCAGCCAAATTGCTCACTCACAACTTTAATGTCAGTAGCTCACAAAGTAGAATTGTTGCTCACAAGACTCCACAGCTTTAGAGAGAGCGTTGGTCATGAGTTGAACTCTGATAAAGCCAGGGATGAGATCCAAGTGCAGAAAGAACTCCCGTTTCTTGGGGATCCTTGTCTCTGTGGAGCTGCTGGTACAGTGTTAGTTGCCCTGATGGAGGGAGCGGGAGAAGAAGAAGAAGAAGAGATTGGATTTATTCCCCGCCCTTCACTACCCAAAAGTGTCTGGGAGCGGCTTACAAACTCCTTTCCCTTCCTCTCCCCACAACAGACACCCTGTGAGGTAGGTGGGGCTGAGAGAACTCTTGACAGAAACTGCTCTTTTTCAAGAACAGCTGTGCCAGAGTTATGACTTGCCCAAGGTCATCCAGCCAGGTGCAAGTGGAGGAGTGGGGAATCAAACCCGGTTGTCCCAGATTAGAGTCCGCGCACTTAACCACTACACCAAACTGGAGGGAAAAGAGAAGGACATTCCATGCCTGCCCTTGTGTTGCTCCACCACCAAGTAATTTTGGAAAAAATGCAAGGGTCGTGGTTTAGTATCTAAGGTGGTGTTTTATTATAGTTCATTCTTGCATCTTTGAGAGTAAGGGACCAAGGAGATCCTGCAACAAGTGAATATAAACAGAGATGAATGGTGTAGAGCAGAGTTTCCGAACACGGTGCCCGTGGGTATCCTGATGCCAGCCAGCACATTTCCTGGAACCCACCAAGTTATTTTAGAAAGTAGGGGGTGGTGGCTGTTCTCCAGCAGAGCTTTCGATTGGTTGTGCAGATTTAAAGGCATTGTGTTAGAGCTTCTGCTTGAAATGCTGAGCAGGTACGATTAGCGTTAGGGTTAGGGTTAGGTCTCTTCTCGACATTTTATGGTTGGCTCCACCTCCTGGCAGTGTTCCCTCTGGTCTGGATGCTAGGGATGCCATCCTCCAGGTGGGACCTGGGGATCAGTGTTCCCTCTAAACAGACTTAGTGTGAGCTAGCTCACAGATTTTTAGCCTCCAGCTCACACATTTTTGTCTTTGCTCCGGAGCAAACTGATTTATGCAGTAGCCAAATCACTCACTCACAACTTTTAATGCCAGTAGCTCACAAAGCAGAATTTTTGCTCACAGGACTCCACAGCCTAGAGGGAGCATTGCCTCCTGGGCCAGCTATTTTGTTATTGTGCCTTCCACCTTATGTCAAAATTCTGAAGCTGCCTGCAGGTTTAAGAAGGCTGGGTGTTGGAAAAATAGGCAAAAATACTTAGATACTTGGAGGTTTGCAATGGATCTTTGCTTCACTGGAGAGGAGGCATTTCTTTCTGTTTAAAAATGTTGGTTTCTAAGGGTGGGGTTCACATGGAAATCTACAAAATAACAAAGGCTACATCTCTAAAGCTTTACAGACTGACCACATGGTCTCACAACAACAACAACTGTAACAACAATAATGGAGATTCACCTTCTTCTTGACCCCTAGAAGGAAATCACCTGATTACATTAACCAATGATGTTTGTAAACAGACTTCAGTTTCACAGGCTTTCTTTGCATTGGCTCTGAGCCAGGTTTCCTTCAAGGTCAGGATAAACAATAGCACACAAAATATACAGATTAGCTCTATAATGACTGGAATTTAGACCTCGCAACTCACATATTTCTAACACTGGGGACCCATGGTGTAGAGTTTGTCCATATCTTCCATAAAACAGTGTTAAATTCATTTTAGCCTTCAGAGAATTAGATTCCTTTGGGGGGAAAGGGAACATTGGAAACATTAGAAGAGAAGGTTGAGGGGGAACATGATTGCTCTCTTTAAGTATCTGAAGGGCTGTCACTTCGAGGAGGGCCGGGAGCTGTTCCTGTTGGCGGCAGAGGAGAGGACTCACAAGAATGGGTTTAAATTAAGGGTGGAAAGGTACCTGCTGAATCTTAGGGAAAACTTTTTGACAGTCAGAGTTGTGCCACAGGAATCAGCTGCCTAAGGAGATGGTGAGCTCCCCCTCCCTGGCAGTCTTCAAGCAGCGGCTGGACAACACACTTGTCAGGGATTCTCTAGGCTGATCCTGCATTGAGCAGGGGGTTGGACTAGATGGCCTGTATGGCCCCTTCCAACTCTGGGATTCTGTGATTCTATGGGGGGAAAAACCAATTGAAAAAGTGTAGATAAAAGTGAAAAAGTGTAGACCATTTGATTTTTTTGCTGATGTACAGGTCGTAAAGCCATCTCAACGGTGCCAAAGAGACCTCTCAGGAAATGCCATTTCCAAAACACGCTGTCACCCTGAATCCCTATCCCAGTTCTGCGTTCAGATTCAGTCCCAGTCCAGATTGGTTCAGTCCC